ACTCTCGTGCTTTATGAACTTGATGATTTGGATGGTACCATTGAATTGGATGATAATTTGTTAAATGTGGGACCCGCATGTGAATTCACGGAATTGTTTTGTCCGTTGTGGTTCTCGAGTGATTGACTTGAGATAAGCTTACCTTATGCTCGATATCATTGTAAACGTGTTATGCTATTCATTTGTAGTGCATCTCGATCGATTGTGCGATTATGTGATTACATTTATGATGTACTTTTATGCCTCTCCCTTCGAAATAAAATAAAATAAAAAAGAGAATAAAAGGTGAGTTCGCGAGGAGGTACGGACTAGGCTCCTCTTATCCCTATTCACCTCGTGAAATGGGATAATGAGCCCGGGAAACCGGTTTAGGGAACTCGAGTTGACTAATCGAGGGTAAATCTAAATAAGCATTGTCTAAGAAACCTCGTTCGGAAAAAGAAGTTCACGAAAAAAAAAGGCAAAAACAAACAAATAAAGAAAGGGAGTTAGCTTATTCGGTCTTGTTTATCATACTTTACATTTTGAGTAAACCATATATAGCTTTTTGCACGTGCTTGTAGAAAAAGGATGCTTTGATCGAGAAAATCATGTGTAGGATGACTTGGGACGGGTTTTTGTTTTGTATGGATTCATCTCGTGGGGAATATGTTTTCGAATTTGAATTCGATTATTTGGTTTACCGGATGATAAGGAAAGTCTTATATTCGCATGATTGTTAACTTTGAACCATTCAATGTTTCTTTTCGAACTACTTATTATTTTGTTTGCTTGAGGACAAGCAAAAAGCTAAGTGTGGGGGAGTTGTTTATTGTGTTTTTGTGCTTTTTTTCGTGTGTTTTATGTGTTTTAGTTTAGTCTTTTTAGGTTTGTTTTAGTGTTAACCGGTCCATTTTATCGTGTTTCGTGTGTTTTCTTTGTCTTTTTCTTTATTCAATGTTTTTGGCGTACTTTCCGTGCTCTTGGGTGTATTTTCAAGATTATTCTAAGGTAGATGAGAGAAGTCGAACCGAATTCCGAGAGACGAGCATTTTCGGAAGAATCCCGAGAAGTTTCGAGCCAATTCGTACGAATGGTTCCCATTCCGAGTAAGTCAAGCCTTGTTGACCAAAGTCCCCAAAGCTGTCCGGGAACCCGCGAGCTCGCGCCTCGCTCCGCGCCCTCCAGTGCCACTCGCGAGCTCGCCACATTTGCCGCGACCACGAGAGTGTGTCGTCGCCTCGCTCCGCGCCCTCGGAAAGCGCCGCGACCACGAGAGTGTTGCCGTCTGCTCACTCACGAACACGCTAGAGCCCCCGCGACGTCGAGAGTAGTGTTTCCTCCGCGCCATTTGCCGTCCCCGTGCCAACTGACACCCATGACCTGCGGAATTCCCGGCGAGCTCGAGAGTATCTTTTAGTAAATGTGCGTGTTTCTAGTGTGTGTTTTGAGCTGTACTATAAATATATTTTGGCCCTTTGTATTTTGGCCATCTAGATTTCATTTCTCACTTTTCCTCTTTAGGAATTTTTCTTTTCTCTTTAGTTTTCTCTCTTCTCTCTCTTGGGAGCTCTATGACATCATTTTCCGGTGAGTTTTCCGGTGACTCTTATTTTGTTCAATTCCGAGCTTTTGACTCCAATTTTCGTCTAGCACGCAATAGAAGATTAGGTATTTACTTTTAAAGTTCATTACTTCGATTTTTGCCCCGTTTTTACTTATGATGTTTATCAAGGTGATTTTGGGTATTTGCTTGATGATGGAGGGAATGTTTGGACTTGATCATTGCTCTTGCTTGTTTTAGTATGGATTAATTACTTGTTTATCTAGATTAAGGGTTAGGACTCTATTTAGAGCTTAATCACTTAGGTTAGAAGGTTAAGATTAGTAACCTAGTGCTTGAACTTGCAAATTGTTCGTCATTGAGTTCGTTTGGTGTCGATGGCATAGAGACACCGGTAGTGTTAATTGCTTTATTCTCTCGTTCATTGCTTCTTTCAATTTTGAGCATCAATTAGCATTAATTCACTCTCCAACCCATTGATTAGCATGTTTAGCTTTTATTTTCTCATTTTGTGTGATTTGGACAATTGAGTGGTGAACAAAGCTCCGAACCGTCTTCCTTTGAGAACGACTCGAGGTCGGGTAGCTCGGTTACCAACTACCCACAAAATACTACAGAACAGACGTCAGATATCTGTTATGTGGTAGGGATGAAAAGTAGGTATCAAAGAAACCCGAGACATGGTCATTTGACGCGGTGAAGCATATAACCAGATACCTAAAGAGGACCAAGGACTATATACTAGTTTACAAGGCGATCCAGTTGACTCATGTGGGTTACACTAATTATGACTTCCAGTCAGACCAGGACAAAAGCAAATCTACCTCAGGGTATGTGTTTACTCGAGGAGGTGGAGCTATAGTATGACAGAGTGTCAAGCAGAAATGCGTGGCGGACTTCATTATAGAAGTCGAGTATGTTGTAGCTTCTGAAGTAGTGAAGGAGGTTGTATGGCTCAAAAACTTCCTGATGGACTTGGATGTGGTGCCGAGTTTGCCCAAAGGTATTACTGTTTACTATGATAATAGTGGTGCAATATCAAACTCAATGGAGCCACATGCCCATAAGGTTAGTGAACACATTGAGTGCAAACACCACCTGACACGAGCGATCGTATGAAGGGAAGATGTCGTTCTTGCCAAGGTAGCATCAGCATACAACCTAGAGGATTCTTTCACGAAGAGTCTACCGATGAAAGTCTTTGACAGACACGTGGAGAGAATGGGAGTCAGATTTTTGGTGATAGGATCGACATAGGCCTTTGAGAATAAGATTGAAATTTTGTATTGGAAAAGCAAAATCTTTAAGTATAAGTGGAAGAATGTTAGTGTATAACTAAAAGCTTGTCCTTTTGTTATGAACATTATTTTCGTATAAATGATAATCATGTTTAATTAAATGCTTCTATATTCTTTTGTTTTACTTCAGATAAATATGGTTCTTCATGGATGACCAGAAGATCATATGATCATACATAAAGATTGGTTCACAACCTAGGTGAAATTGAACGAACCATTGCAATGGTTGTAGTATCATTTGGATCGGTTGGTCTTGATTGATGAATAACACTAGTACACTAAGAGTGTATTGAACGGACCTGCAAAGGAGAAGTTTATTTTATATTGACTAAGTAAAAGAACTTGACCTCGGTAATTACTGTGTACTCTTAAATCGTAAGGTAACAACGGGCACGTGCACTCCGTAGTTATTTGTTTGTTTCACTAAAAAGTGAGATTCATTCTGTTGGATCAACAGTCTAGGTTAGAAAATAGTGTTATATGTATGGCGTGATGTTCGATTATTTACGGTCACCATGTGTGTTAGTTTGATTATGTTTTCGAAATGAGCTCAAGAAGAATTATTATGCGAAGCCCGGCACGCGTATTTAATTCTTTGATAATAATAAAGAATTGATTGGTACTAGTTTCAAATCAAAAAGTCAATTAATTATAGTTTTAGTAATTATATTAATTAACATACATTATGTCTTAAACATGGAGAGAAAAATACAGCAGACTAGTTTGGAGACTCAAATATAATTTAAGGGCTAAATAAGAAGTTCAATAATAATTTTTTAGTGGAATAAACTATTATTCAAGTGTGAAAATTGTAGGTGGTCTAGAGCCTTAGAATCATGTTCACACTTGGAGAGTCCTTATTTAACAACTCCTTAGGACCCATGTTGTAGCTTATAAATACTCCCTTCCATTGGATGTTCCATACGATCACTCCCATAAGGAGTACATGTACAAGTGAGTTTGGTGTTCTTGTGAGAGATTTGAGAATCTAATCGGAAAGCTTCTAGTTTGTCCGCCCACCAAGACGTACAAAGTCGGTCAAAGGAATACAACTGAAGTCACGAGGTTTAACGGAGGCACATGCATGACACACGCACGCACGCACGCACCTTCCAGCCTCGACGACCACCGCATGCGGCCAGGCGCGACGCGACGCACACTGGCAATAGACGTCGCACGAACGTGAGCAGCGCAGCATGCCCGACAATTGTCGACCAGCGAGCAGCGGCGATCTCAGACACAGCAGCAGCGAGACGCATGGACGAGAAGTCAAAACCGTTCATACGATCTCATAGGTCGTGTAAGTCGACTCAAAGTCTGCGAATTTTTGAAATCATAAGTGTTCAGTCCGAATCTCTATATTCGATGTGCTTAGAATTAATTCGTAGATAATTTGGACTTGTACGAACATCGACGTTCTTCATCGAACCCTAACAATGAAAGAATGAGATTGTTCACACGAATCCAAGAGACATAATCGATAGGATCGATAGTGTGAGAGGGTGGAGAGAGTGTACCATCGACGAAGCACAATTTGTTCTTAGCCGAAAGAGCCATGGTGACAAATCTGGACCAGGAAACATAGTTATCCCCTTAAAATAGCTTAGCAACAATAAAAACTCCGAGCTTATCGTTCGCGTGGAGAGAGGAAGGATCATTAGTTGGCAGGATGTGCTATGGAGTACACCTTTGAAAATTGGTGTGAATTTAGGGTTTCACCGAAAAAAAAAAAAAGGTTTACCAAGAAGTGACGAACAAAAGAAAAATTATAGATCGCCAACAGAAAATAAAGATCGATCAAGCGAATGATAACATATCAAATTGATTTAATCAAGCATATCTTTGAGTGGAAGATGAAAGAAAAATGATAGAAAAATCGTATTCGTAGAGAAACAATATATAGTTGTTGGGTTTATAAGTGAAAAAGTGAATAGGGTTTCTGACTAATAAGGTATTTATACATGTACTACTTTGGATGTTTACATGTTGAGGAACTATTTTGCAAATGCATACAGGTTCAAAAAACCAAAAAACGTGACAGCACTTATTCATCTAATAGCTTCCTAACCTGAACGCAGTTACACGGATATTTAAATCTAGCATCAATCACATGGATTCAAACTACCCCAAGATTTAAATTTCTTCACATGTTTTGAAATCGCATAACTGCTTTAAGAATGCAAAAATAGATGGATATGTGTCTTCAGTATTCAATCGACAGAAAATGTAAAGAGACAAGACGAAAATAAAACAAAAAAAAATGGACATCTTTGGCTCAATCTTGAGGAAGGAGTTCATCTTGGTCGTATACATATAGATATAATGCTAAAACACGGCACAAAACAAGAAGGGCGTCCAAATGAAGCTAAATAAAAATAAAGTAAATCTGCAGATATTAATAATAAGCGTGGAAGGTATATATCCCCACATACGCCGCTCTTTACATTTGCTTTAAACTCAATCACATTTGGCAGCCTACTCAAAATACCTCAAAAGAATAAAACCAGCCGCTCACTATCCCCCCTCATTCCCCACCTTGGACCACCGCATCCATATTCTCAATCTCTTCCCCATTTTTCACCACTGTCCCATTACACTCACGTTTGTCTTGCAGCCCTTGACCATCGTTCAATTTCTTCCCGCCATTTTCCTCCAAAGAACGAGCAGATATTGTCTCTAAGCCCATATTTTCAGTTGATGAAGGCTGTTGGCCTGATGTGTTGTTGCCCGAGCCTTGAGGTGGAATGAAAACGCCTGTGCCAGGTAATGGCAGACGAGGAGGCGGGCCCGCAGGCCAGCCCGGAGCTTGTGGTACTTGCGGAGGGAATGAAGGCTTCTTCACTGGGCCAGGAACGAATATTGGCTGGATACAATTGTTTGGCTGAGGGTGTGGGCCTGGTGTGGGTGGAAGGGGCCCAAAGTGTTTTGCAGGCCCAGGACGGATGTGAGTGGGAGGTGGGGCCCAGTTGGATGGAGGTGGAGGAAAACCTTGAGCCTCTGCATTGAGTTTTTTCGGTTGCGACTTTGCGAAAGTGATGAGTATGCGCTGCTTGCGCTGGGAGGATATGGCGTGTCGGGCGAAATCGGACGATCTCCCTTGCATTACAAGCATGGATCTGTCCACGGTAAAATAAAATCAGTCAATCCTTTTAAAAGTCATCCCATCAAGGTCCTTAATTAAATGTATTTTTAAGGTTTTGACACATTAATTAAGAATATAAAAAAATGATCTAATCTTGTTTCTTAAAAGTTTTGTTTCCAATGAAACACATTCAATCTAATTGTAAGAACATGAATATTTTATTCTTGTTTCATGCCATTAAGGCATATTTTATATTTTTAGAAATTTCTTTTGATATGGATAGTAGAGCTTCAAGGTAAATAAAACAATGCGCTTGTTGCCCAGGAAACCTCAAAATCCAAATAATCTAGAACAAAAGCATTAGCCTAAAATACATTTAATTTTGGAACAGATGGTGTATTAAGTAAAAAGTAAAATGCAGAAAGTGTGCTGAGAGAGGTGACAGTACCCGGGTGAAAGGGAGAGTTTGAGGGCACCTCGAAAGTCCCCAGGATGATCGGCCGTTATCACCCTACTAAAGGACATCTCACATTCAGTCAAGAAAAGAAGGCATACGGGCCTTCCAAACGATTGTGACCACATATAAGGTTGTGAGTAGTCACCCTGTCAGTAGACCAATCAAATTAGATTTAGAAGCCAAAAAAAAAAAAAAAAAAAAAAAAAAAAAAAAAAAAAAAAAAAAAAAAAAAATCTAGAATACAACACTAATGAGTGAAACCTCATTGAAGACATCGACTATGACGGAATCTGGCTTGACGCTAACAACTTGTTCAGCAAGTACCCGTTGAATAATGTCTTGAAGCAATTCAGGAATGGGCTCTGTTTTTATGTCTGCAAAATGAATTGGCAGGACCACCATAATTACCAAGTGCAATAAGAAAAGCATATATACTGAAAAACATAAAGGCCAATTAATTTGCATGAAATGTGCCTCTAGAAGTCACTGCAGCTTCTTCATTGTCAGGGTTTGCATCCGCTATTGGGACACCCAATTGGATTATCTCTCTTCCTCGTCCTCTCATGGGCCTCCTTAAGGTAGTAAAAGCTTGACCTGTTTCAAATCAACAGAGAAATAGAGGTAAGTTTACATACATATTGAGCCTGCCAAATATCACAATAAGAATGTTTCTTCACATTGGCTGGAGAGCAAGCATTCTTAAAGACACAATATAGTTAGTGAAAAAAACAAAAAAGCATGGTGAATCAGAACTTTCCTTTAGTGTAGAATCGACCAATTAGCAAAGTGTCACGGAGAAAACACTTCTATTCAAATTTTAACAGACACCAAATACTTTTAATGTATTCAAAGCAAAAAACCATAATCATATAATCATGTTGTCTTCATCCAGATCAGATAAGGAGAAGACCAACTATAATGGCAATGGAATCCGCCTTAGCTTGAGCCTTGGTGGACAACTATTCTTTCCCTTGGAAATAAATGGAACTCATTATTTCTTCTCAAGAGAAGTATGTACTGAAGAAATCATTGCCTAGACCAAACCTGTGATGTTGCTATTGTATTTATGAACGGAAGAAGTCGTGATATTGTTAGATGAAAGAAATGATTATCAAATCAATAGTCAGCACCATGGATGACCATGAAAACAATAATTTCTAAGATAATTCGAAGTTCAACTTATATCAAACAAAAACTTCAGAAACAATGACTTTAGTTAGTCTAATTCTTCGAGCCATGAAGTCTGAACTCTGAGCTTGTAAAATTGAAGACATACCAATTATACTGCGTTCTAAGGAAATATTACAGAAAACATTATTTGTTTTTTGCACTCAGGTTTCAGATATTTGAAATCTCATTGAGATGAAACTAATCAGATCTTTATCTGATCTCCTAATTTCTCATGTTAAAAATCAAACCAATGAAAAAAGAAAACCATTTACTATGCATGCTTTAAGAGCTTTTTGACATACTATATTAACCTTTCTCAGAACACCTCCCAAGACCTTTAACTTTAAGTAACTGTTAAAATAAAATGTGGAGCCATAGGAAGGTGCAATTTAGCCGTCATAGGAAATAAAACCCATCATTCCTTTAATCTGTTTAATCTTGAAAACTACAGTGTACTAGTGAAGGAGAGAACAAAGAATGAAGCAGCATGTAACAAGAAATATGACATATGGGACAAACAGTTCATATAAAAGCTATAAAATATGTATACAAGTACATTATATAACACACAACAAACAACTACAGTTTAGAACACAATTGTAATGTTATTTTAATTAGGAAAAGCAAATGCGTTGAACTCACAAATTGCTACATGAGCTACTTTCACCAATCTCAAACTATCAATAAGGAGCCATTAAATCAAAATGAAGTGCCAGAAACGAGAAATTCGAACAAGAAAAAGACAAAACCAAAAGCAGAAACCAGCTCAGTAATAAGGTCATGTTACAACAGATACCGTTAAACTTACCTTTTAAATGTCCTCTTTTTCCTGAAGCTCTCAATTCATTCACTAAAGTACTAAGTTTAGAAATTTCTGAATTTTCAAAAAGATCATCATACAGCTTCATTCCTTCAGCTACATTTACCTACAGAATGAATTATTGATTCAACTCGTGTTAACTAATTGAACTTTAACTGTTTAAGAAAGAAATTTATACCATAGGGAATAAAAATATTACCAATTTTCCCTCGCATATCTCGTTAGCGACAAACGTTCGTGGAGAAACTTTTATGATTTCAGATCCATCCACATTACAAGACTCTGAGAAAGGGAGACGTAAGAGGATTAGAAAAATACGATTACAGTCCTAGCAGCAGCAGTTCGGAAAAATAAATAAATAAATAAATAAAAAATCTAAACATATGCAAGAGCTTCCTTTATAAATGCCAACGGCACAAAGCTAATATCATTATTTCCCCTAAGCTAACACATCTCCCCAGCATGATATGTATATATACTCAGTTGTATTTAATGCATATTCAGGTATTCACCAACAAGAGGTGCCCAAGTCACTGATCATACAACCTATGTACATATTAATCACTAATAAATGGTAGGATTATTCTGGCACGAAATTCTAACTTTACATTCTCAAAAGCAAAACATAACAAAGAGATCAAATACAAACGAAATAGGCAACACTAATAACTGTGATATTCTCAGAACTATAGTTTAACTACCATCTGCATGAGTAACAATTCCTTGTACACTTCCCTGCCTTTTCAAGGTTCTATCAGCTGCATATTTTTCATTGATTTCTGTTATTTCGCCAATAACAAAGAAAAATTAGTCATTGTATGTATATCTTGGACCGACTCGAGTTATTTATATTATGTCTGAAATTGGAATTAAAATCCTGAAGGTCAAGGAAATAAAGAAACGTGCCTTTTTTTACACTTACACACCAATTTAGTTTTCCTTAGAGAACTTATCAACAAAATTCAATTTAAATAGGGTCCTGTCAAGTTATCTTTCTGTCTGAAATTCCTTAGGACTCAGAAGTTAGTACAATACTTACAGATGAACTCTAGCAGTTCCTTACAGCAATTTTAGTGGTGTAAGTTTCACAAAGTTAAGCCCTGAGCCACATTTTTATGTGAAACTCCTTCTTGTTAATCAGCAAGTAGAATAGGTAGGCATTACAGCAAAGTACATAGGAACTCTCAGGAAACACAAAAACAACAGTTTACTTGAGGACTGAACCACAAAGAATTACCAATTGTGTATACAATTGCAAGAAAATGAACGGCAAATGTACATGGACAATTTCTTCCACATTATATTTTTTCAAACAAAGAATTTTAACTTGGTGTGATAGAACTCTTCAACTGAAATGTGGCTCGGAAGTCTCTTGCAATAAGTTAATCTAGAGTTGTCACATTAACTTTGTGGACTTACCACTCCAAATCATTGCAAGCTAATCCAAACATCAGCAAACCACAAATGAACTCACAAACCATAAACATGACTTGTCCTAGTATCAAAATATATTAAGTAACATCAATGGAAACTAGAAGGTGTATTTTGAGCTATCTATCTGTAACCTTCCTCATTTACTGACCATTGTTTAACACCCTTTCTACTAAAATATTACAAACAAAATAATCAATAACCATTTCTAGCAACAAGTGATTAGTAATAATTTTTTATACCCTGCATGACAAGGTTTCCAGTTCTTAATTGCAACTCACTAGATTTGTCACTTGATTATTATAATTATTATTCATTTGAAAAGATATTATCTTTATTGCTCTGTTACTGAACAAAACAGATTTCCAATATCTAATTTCAAGTAAGAGGTTATGGCAAATATTCATTGTTTAACCAGAATGCCATAAATTAAATAGTTTATTAAATAGATCAGTTCCAAGCAACCTTTTTTTCCCAACTAGGCCAAACTTTAGGCTATAATATCCAGTAAATCGCACCCAAATTTGTTTTCCACATATAACATCAATTTTATAATTTATATCCATCACACCCCAGCAAATCCAATAAACACATTATCTTACGGTATAGATGCACACAGAAAGAGACATATATCCATCCCAAAAACATGTCAATTTGCACAATAGATAAAATAAACAAGCCCTTATTACCTTTCTTCTCCTCTTTCTCCTCCACCTTTGCAATCTTATCTCCTACTTCCAGTTTCCCGGGTGCGTTTGAATTTCCTTTGGCATACCCATTGTTCAGATCCTTCCCGTTCACCTGCACCTCAGCACCTCCTCTCTGCCACCTACCCCCTCGCTTGAAATCCTTTCCACCTCCCCCAACCCTCACGCTCCCCTCGGGAGCCGCAGCCCTCTGCTGCTGGCGCTTCCAGCCGGCATGCTGTAGAGCGTAAACCACCTCAGCCACGGAGAAGTACTGCTGCATATGCAGAATGGGGTTCCAATTGCACCTCCTCTGCTGTATGCACCCAATCACGCCATCGTACTCCCCAGGATCCCCCACGGCCCGCAGGTGGTGGCAGAGGGCGTCGATAATCGCGTTGGCGGCTGCAAATTCGCCTCTAAGCCAAATCAGGAAGCCTTCCCTCTCGTCCACCTGAAGGTGCGGCGGCGGCGGCAGCTGGTGGCTGCTGTACCACTGCACAGGGACTTTCTCCGGCACCACCATAGCTCCCGATTGCAATGCCATGTCGAGTACGTTGTGTTATGCCCCCACCACACGCAGTCGAACGAAAACGGATTCTATCTATCAACTATTTTGAAAAACCAGTGTCGATATACATGAAATTGTATGTAATATTCAGGCGCATGAGGATCCGGAAAAGGACATTTAACTCGTAGCAATAAGCTGAACACAGATCGAGAATCGGAGGAAACTGGTTGGAAGCAAGTAGCAAAGAATGGTTGTGCAATGTGTGTGCGTGTGGGAGAGGTGAATTTTTAGATCTGAAAGTGACGTGAGAAGATGGAAAGGGAGTGTGTGTGTGTGTGTGAGTATGTGTGAACGTTTGAGAAGAAAGGGAACAACTATAAGATCTGAAAAGAAAATGTGGCTTGTGAAACACGCGTATAAACATAAGCAAACTCGTCCTTCTTCTCTCTTCTCTACTGTGCTCTCTCTGCTGTTTTTGGATTTGAATCATCTGTCTTTGTTGGAGCAGTAACTTTATCTCCCCAAAATTTCTAGTTTTTAATATTAAAAATAAGTTATTATAAGTTATTTGTGTGTATATAATAGTTATTTGTATGCATTTATATAAATTTTTTTGTATTCAGTTGCACAAATGTAAATAAAACTAAATATTATAAGTTATTTGTATGCATATAATATTAAAATTATAAGTTAAATAATAGTATTATAAGTTATATTTATGCATATAGTATTAAAATTATAAATTAGATAATAGTATTATATTTTAAAATTTGATCATTGGTTAAAATAAATAGTACATACGATTTGAATGCATAAAAATCACTATATTGATTGTATAAAATGTAATAAATATATAATTTTTGTAATTTCGAGTGATCATGACCAATTAATTAACTGAAAAATATTAAATTATTATAACAATTGCTTATATGATTTTAAGAAATTGTACCATGACATAAAAAGAATAATTTATTTAAAAAACAATCGCTTAATGATATAAATAAATATAAAATTGATTTTAGTAAAATAATTGTATGTAACTTTCATATATCATTTAGTGTAAAATATAATTACTAATTTTCATATTAACTATTTTATGATTCAATAAAAACTATTATATGATTCAATAAAAAATATAATTATTACACAATTAACATATAATATAATGGTTTAATTAACCACAAAAAGTGTAACGAAATATTTTATTATTAATGAGTTAGAGTGTATTAATGCCATAAGTAAAATTTTATTAGGTTCTATTTATTAGGTTTTATTTAATGATTTGCCATAGGTTTACCTTTAAACCTGTGAATTTTAAGCTGTAAGTTTTCACCTTTAAACATCTAGATCCGTTGCGCATAGGTTTATTGTTGTTTTTTAAATTTGTGACATGTACTTAACGAGATCTTCGCGGATCCCAACACTCACTGCATCGTGCCAGCGCCTAGGTGCGCTACAATGTCGTCGGGGCCGTGCGTGCGTGCCAAGTGTTGTGCAAAAATCGCACTGCTAGCCCTCGTGCGCATCGTCGGGTTGTTCCACAAACTCCCACTATGCGTCTACATGTGGCTGGGGCTGGCCTTATCATGCGCTCGGTTGAGACTTGGGTTAGACACACCCGCGATCCTTAGGTCTTGTGATCAAGTCGCACGTCGCACGTAGCACCCATAAGTGGTGCTCGCTGCCCGTCGCCGAAGGCCTATGGCCACGCTCGCGTCCTAGCACCATCTGCATCAGACTTGCTGCTAGCACTTGGCTGTCTGCAACTGGGCCATCGCGACAGCAAGCTGTCCGCGGCCCTCGCGTGGCCATGTACAACTGCATCAGATGAGATGTCTTCGGGTCACTGGCTGACTGGTCGTCAAGGTTGCCGACCACCATGGTAGTCTGGGTCCGTCCACAGTGAACACAATCAACAATATTCAACAAAATATTTACACAATTGATCATAGACCCAAATAGGGGTTTACATGATCGTTCTAGTAAAACAATAAATCTATACGGTGTTCCACCGTGCGATTAAAACTATTACAAGCATTCACAATCCAAAAATCCTCAACATGTTCAAGGCTTAAAAAATGTGCAATGGTTTAAACAAGCACATTTAGGCNAGAAAAATATGTGGAAAAAAAAAAAAAAACGAAAAAAATGGGGTAGCCCGAAATCAAAACCACGTATTTACAAAATATGTTTTTTTAATCATAAGTTTTTTAGTAAAACGTATTCCTCGTATACGTTTTTAAATTAAATTTGTTTAATTATTTGAAAAATATATTGCCGAAAATTGTATATCCAATTTTAATTTAAAACCGTATTCAAGAAATCATTTTCGTGAACCCTAAATCCCTAAATCAATTTAGATTTTTTAAAACGTATTTCACTAATACGGTTTTTTACCGTAAATTAGGAAAAATTTAAATTAAAATAAAACGTATAACTGAAATACGTTTTTTTTATTACATTAGAAAATGTATTTCATTAATACGGTTTATACCATTAATAATTTTTAAGAAAAATTTAAATTAAAATAAAACGTATAATTGAAATACGTTTTCTAATATAATAAAATTAAAAATGTATTTGCAAAATACGATTTTTAACAAAATATAAGTACGAAAAAATCTTCTCCTTCACCACTCTGCGCGAACATAACAACGAGGAGAAAAAAAAACCCTCATTTCCATCCATCTTCACCTGAAAATAAAAAATAAAAATCTTTTAACAATTAATCGATTCGGAGAAGAGGTTAGTTGTTATTTTAATGTAATGTAATTACATTTTTTTTGTTGTTTATGAATGTGTAAGAAGCGGGACTTGTTCTATACACAGGAATATCTAAAATCCTAAGGGGAATACATCGGAGAATGAGGTCGAGACGAGGAGAACCTCTAACTCGTGGAGACTCCGGATCCTCCATCAAAACACCTGACATCCACGCTTGATTATATTCATCTCTGTCGATACCGAAGGAGGACACATCGGAGTCGGGAGAATTTTGTGATTGGTCAGCTAACTTGAAGCCGACTACTTGGACCGAGTCAGACGACTGGGGACCTTCATCGATCAAATGCTCAATGGTATCGGGCGAAGAGTCAGAGTCGGAATCTAAGGAAAAAGAAGATGAGAAAAAGTCGAAATCAGTAGGTACAGAATAAGAATGGAAGAGAAGGGTAACATGACGAATAGACGAAATGAAGTCAACTCGCAAGAGTGCGGAAGAAAAATCAAGTCGAGGAAAGAACTGCTACCAAAGAAGCAAGCAGAGCCACGAGCGTGCCCGACTCTCCTTAATCATGAAAGAGAAATGATAGGTCGAGATCGACTTAATCATGACAGATGTACAAGTCGACAGAGATCAGCATAAGGAAAAACGGATAAATCGACTTCACACCAAAAGTCGATGCAAGACAGAGGCAAAACAAAAAAACTGAAGAAGTTGCACGCAAAGAGGATCTAACACAAAATTCGTACAAAGGATATGAAGAACACGAAGAACATCTAAGGGTTTCGATTTTAGGAAAACCCAGAAAAGACTTAGGGAATCACAAAAATAAGTAAAAACCAACGAGAATCCAGAAAGCAGTAAACTTACACATGGTTGCGGTTGAAGAGAGTCTTGAAGGTCTGAAGTTGTCGGAGAGAAAGACGCCGGTAAGGCCAAGAGTGCTGATATCGCCGGAAAATTTGGAGAATATAGAGAGAGAGCAAGAGATTATGAGGATGCGAAAAATGGGGTGTTGTGGGAAAGTAAGGTATTTATATAGCAGAGTAGACGAATATCAGCCCTCGAATCAAAATGTGATCCGACGGCCTTGATGAAGCACATAATTCGAGGAGTCAGCGATTGAGATGACGTGTATCACTTCAGGGTTTTAGAAATTCGAAATTCAAAAAGGTTGTCAGAATGTCAGACTTATCTAAAAGGTAATCATAAGGGGATGGGGAAGCATTCTGGCCAAATGACGAGATGAGGCATAGACACGACGAGTAGAAAGGAATGCGGTGACTTAAGTCGAATAAGCGCGGTACTCGACCACCGAATTTACTCTTAAGCATTCGGCTGCTTAGAGTAATTTTTTTTGGGGGGGCTAGATGATATAGCCATATAAAGATATACCGGCCCAAAGGTTCTCTACTCGACCAGAAAGAGGCTCAAACCGTTCACATGTCGACATACACCCGTCGACATGTTCAAGTCGACTTCCTCCAAGTCGACTCTTAACAAGACTGATGCTGAGAAATGGCATATTTCATATAAGTCGACTTCCTCCAAGTCGACTCTTAACAAGATTGATGCTGAGAAATGGCAGATTCCATATAAGTCGACTCCCAGAAGTCGACATTGTTCAGTCAACTTCCTGAAAGTCGACATCTATTTGAGAAGACCAACAAGAGCGTAGCCTCCGAACAACCAGAAGATCCTGAGTCGACTCGTTCATACTCGATGTCGACTCCTTGTACCTCGAGACGTGAGGCACACTAACGACTTAACACACTTGTGGCATTTCTGGGAACCTCTTGTCCTCCAATAGATAAGAGGGAATCTTGTGATGACTCAGCAAGGAGGGGAGACGAATCGACCAGGGCAATTTAGACCTTTTAGGTCAACTGATCGGGGCATTTCGGGTACTTCAAGTAAGTGTTTCCTCCTATATAAAGGAGGTGAGGTAACCCTAAACTCTAACTCCCATTCATTCCATACTCTCCCTCATAGCTGCTGCGCAGCCTATCTACATCTCTCTCATATATTGACTTGAGCGTCGGAGGCTCTACGTCGGAAACACCTCCGGCGTTGAGTTTTTTCAGGTATTCTCGCGGTCTAGCAACGGATTGAAGGCAATTCAAACAGATCTGAGCTCTTTACCACCGGTTCACTCAAGATCTGAGAGTAGACCCATCACCCAGCTATCGGGATGGCCGACTTCATCGGCATTCAGCCAGTCGGGTATAAGAGCGCGAGAAGAAGTCTTCTTAGAAGAGGAGGAGACCTTGATCGACTTACCCTTCTTCTGGGTAGTCTTAGAAGAGGTAGCGATGGGGGCATCTTGGGATGTAAGAGGAGCAGTGGTGGTTGAAGATTTTGTGGTGGATTGAGAAGGAACGCTCTTCTTAGGAAGGCTCGAAGAAGTAGCCTTAGAAAAAATAGAATGATGAGAAAGGGGAACATTATCTTCATCCTTCTCGGCGGCAGCCTCAGTGGCATCAAGAGCTGCCTCAGCGGCGTCGGAGGCCCCAAACGCCGGTCGGCGGCGAGTAAGGGGAATGTGGTCAAGAGTGTCATCGTCTGATTCGTCAATCAGACGATGAGGTTGGGGAGAAGATGGAGGTGTCGAGTAATCGGAAGGGCGCAGAAAGTTGAGAGGAACGGGATTATAGATTTCTTCAATAGAGCGGGAAGGTGAGTGAGGAATAGGTTGTCAAATAGGAGAAGATGACAGATTGGTTATGTTCTCGCCGGAATGGTGAGTATTCTCAGAGGAAGCAGCGGAATCTGAAAAATACAGAAAAAAATTGTTAAAGGA